AAATAAATAACATGTAAGATACCTCAAAGCATGATTCAATGCAATGAGAATGGCTTAACAAACAAGCCTTTAATTTGCCTCTGAAAAGTCCACTGGAACAGCTGTGTGGCCAACAGAAAATGGCTGATTCATGTTTTATCAGAGAGCTGGAAGGGATCTGAGATCATTCCAGGCCGTTATCTCGTCCTTTCACAGATGAAGAACAGAGACCCACAGAAATTAGCTTGCCCGAGGTCTAGTAGTTTGTAGCAAAACCATTTGTCATAAATCTCAGTACACTGTATTTTCTTTCCAAAGTACTTATGCTACCACCCTGACTCCTGTCACAGTGAGACAAAAATAAAGATGATGATAAATATCAAGGGAGTGCTTCCTACTCCCTAAGCAGCCAGGTACTTACTGGATTAAGCACTTTCCATGAACATATCATTTAGTCCACAAGTCAACCCTATGAGATCAGAACTATTAGTATCCTTATCTACCACATGTGGAAACAGAAGGATCGTGAGATTCAGTATCTCACCTGGCCTTACACAGATAGAAGGTGTTAGAGCCAGGATTTGAACCCAGTCTGACTTAGGAGTCCATATTCCTCAACGGCTCCAACCAACCCACTGCCATGCCATTATACCTACTAGAGAATTACGTGTTTCTAAATCAGAACGCAGAAGCATGGAGGCTCTTCCTATAGTTTTTAATAAAGAGCAGGACATGATTGAGAATTTAACATTTTGACACACCGCACAAAACTTAAGAGTTCCTGCTTCTCTTTGCTTTCTCAATCCATGCACTTATCTTTCTCTTTTTCTCTCTTTCTCTCCCCCTGCTATCCCCCAGTTTTGAGAGCTGCTTTGAGAGTCCTGATTCAATATCAATGATGCCATTATTCATCGAGAATGACAAATAGGTCGGCTTCAGGAAATATGTGCTTCCCCTTCTCCACTTCCCCTATTTCCCACCGGACAATGAATGCTTCTATCTTAATGCTTTTGTTCACAATTAAGAAGGAATTATCCTTTTTTAATGAAGAGGAAATAAATTAGCATGGAAACCATCAACTAATCTAGGCGTAACACATTTACTACACAAATTATTTACAATGGACGTAAACTTGAGAGAAAAGAAAGAATTTACCTTTTGCTAAGGAGGAGAGGAATGTCATAGTATTTGTACGATAACGGGAATATCTGCAGAATAAGAAAATATCCTCCCACATTTTGTAAGTAGACAGTGCTCTATTATCCTCCCAAATTTTGTAAGTAGACAGTGCTCCGGGGTTAAGTGGGATATGGTACTCAATGTGATCATGCAACCTAAAATTTAGTAAGTGTTAGGCTATCAGTATGTTTAAAAATCACTTTTATCTTTAAAAATATATCTGAACTATTTGTAATGAAGAGCTACAGAAATCTTGAGCTTCACAACTAACTTTCATCATCTTTTCATAATGAAGTCATTTCTGTCTTGAAAAAAAAAAAGGTTGTTGTATATCCAGGCACATGAGTGGTAGAGTGGCAGCAGAAGGCTGGAGAGTTCTGTGTGGGCAATAACGGAGGATGTGATTCCAGAAGCAATGTAAAAGAAAGAGAAAAACAATCTTCCTTAGGCATTATTTTAACCACATCACTCCAATAGCCCCTGTTTTTCACCGTATCAGTATAAAGTTCTTAGCATTTCCTATTATCCGGTCTCACTCAACAAGTGCAGATAGGTCTCCCACCGCCTCCCCCACAAGATGTACCTTCTTATTTTTCTTTCTTTCTTTTTTAATCTTAACTTTGCAGCTTGTTTTTTTTTTTTTAGTTGTTTTTTCCCCATGATACACCTTCTGCTCAGACCAGCATTACCACCATGACTCTGCATCTTCCTTTATGGAAACGTCAAATGAAAAGATCATTTATAGGAACCTTCCATTAAACAGCACATAAGCTGACCTATTTAACTGTTACAGCAACCACACAGCATAGGTGTTACCATTTCGACTTTTTTCCATAGAAAACGAATTGCAGCTCAAAGAAATTAAACAAATTGTCCAAGAAAACCAAAGCAGAATTCCTGAGATTCAAACCTACGTCTCACGTCAAAGTCCATGTGTTCTCCTTGATACTGGTTGCTTCCTCTTGCCTGGTTGCCTTCTAGCCTTCCCTTTATTTATTTTTTTTGAGACGGCGTTTCGCTCTTGTCACCCAAGCTAGAGTGCAATGGCACAATTTCAGCTCATTGCAGCTTCTGCCTCCTGGGTTCAAGTGATTCTCTTGCCTGAGCCTCCTGAGTGGCTGGGACCACAGGTGCGCATCACCATGCCCAGCTAATTTTTTTGTATATTTAGTAGAGACGGGGTTTCACCATGTGGGCCAGGATGTTCTCAATCTCTTGACCTTCTGATCTGCCCACCTTGGCCTCCCAAAGTGCTGAGATTACAGGCCGGTGTGAGCCACCACGCCTGGCCTATCTGCTTCCCTTTGACTAAACTCTATGCTTAACTTTTTTTTAATTGACAAGTAATAATTATATCTATTTGTGGTATACAACATGATGTTCTGATATATGTATCCCTCGTGGAATGGTTGAATCCGGCTATTTAATACTTATCTCCTCTATGGTGCCTCCCCAGACAAATGGTGCCTTTCCAGATTTTATCTCTTGAAAATCTGGTGCCTTTTCTCTCTCTCTTGAAAATCTGGTACCTTTCCAGATTTTCTCTCTCCTTGGATTTTATGTAACACTTACAAATCTATAAAATTTAGAGTTTAAACATTATCTCAAAATGTTATTTGATATGCATTTCTTTTGCTTTCTAATTTATTTTTGGATTTCTCAAGGGATTCCTGGGCTGCACACACACAGTAGGGGGCTCATGAATACTTAAAAAATTATTATGAGACCTTCTGGATTCCTGAGTAATATGAGAGGAACCAACAATAGACACTGGGCCGAGGCACTGAATGAGTGGTGAGAGGAGTCCCAGAACAGACGGTGGAGAAAGTAGACAGAGGCTATATTATAAAGGGCTACTCAAATGTAGCCCAAGGAGTACAGATTTTTTTCTAGCATGTGATGAGTCCTGTAAAGTATCTGAGAAGCACACGAGAAGAGCTCCAGTTCAGGACCATATATATGGCTACATCTTGAATAACACATTGAACACAGTTAATAACTGGGCTTTGTATAACCATAGCATGTATCCCCATCTGTCTCTGCATCTGTAGGAAATGTTTTACTTTTGTTGTTGATTTAAAAGTACACACTCGGCACAAAAATACACAGAATGCTAACAGTCAAGACTGTTCCAGACTTCGTAAAACTTATTACATATAATCCCAAAGGGTTGATAAAAAGATAAATCAGTTACAACCAACATTATGAACTACTTACTCACAAATCAGTTACAACCAACATTATGAACTACTTACTCACTTTTAAAAATTATATTGCTGCAAGTTGCAGAAATGGTATCTGGAAAGGCTAATTTACCCAGTGTGAGCAACTAAAGGAATTTCCCTAGCTCAAGATTAACTCTTGAAAAAATTATGTTATTAAATAATTTCTCAACAAGTTTGTTTTATATGGCAAGGAAAAGGCTATCAATAAAAAATTAATTCTCTTCAAACCAGTCATGTGCTTTTACCTCCAAATCTTTTAAGACCAATATCCTCCCTTCATTTTTGTTTTTAACTAAATGAGAATGTCATTTAGCTGATGCTGTTATAAGTAGAAAAAAAAGAACACACTCATTAAAATGAAGTATTTAGTGCAAGAGATCACGGTGACTACAGTTAATAACAACATATTGTATTCCTAAATATTGCTTATGGAACAGATTTTAAGTGTCCTTACTACAAAAAAGATAAGTTCATGAGGTAGGGCATGTGTTAATTAGCTCAATTTAGCCATTCCACAATATATACGTATTTCAAAACATCACATTGTATATGATAAATATATGCAGCTTTTATTTGCTAGTTAGAAAAGTAATTTTCTTTTTTTTTTTTTCTTTTTTTGAGATGGAGTCTCACTCTGTCACCTAAGTTGAAGCACATGGTGGGATCTTGGCTCACTGCAACCTCCGCCTCCTGGGTGCAAGCCACTCTCCTGCTACAGCCTCCCAAGTAGCTGGGATTACAGGCACCCACCACCACACCTGGCTAAATTCTGTATATTTAGAGATAGCATTTTGCCACGTTATCCTGGCTGGTCTTGAACTCCTGACCTCAAGTGATCCGCCCACCTTGGCCTCCCAAAGTGGTGGGATGTGAGTCACCATGCCCAGCCGAAAAATGAATTTTAAAAAAGATGAAATATCTAAGAAAAAGGGGGCATAATCAGAAGCAAAAGAACCAAAGACTTCCTCCACCAAACCAAATGCTTCCCTCTTGAATTAAAGCAATTGTGACTGACTCCCAGGAAAGTCTATGGTCATAAATAATAAAACAGTAGTCATTTGTGTTGGATGGAATGAGGATAAAATGTCACAAGGACAGAGCCCTAGCAAAACATGGGGCTGAGAGGCAGCACTTCTCTGAGGGGCACGTAGTATTCATTCATAGGACCACTGATAGCTGAGGACACTCAGGACCTGAGTGGGTTTTGGAAAACACAGCACCTGTGCTCTGCTTATATAAACAGAGCAGGGGATGCCCTGAAAATCAATGATAAGGAACCTTTTCTTCACGTGATCCTCACAACAGCTACCATTTATGGCTTGAGGCAGTTCTCCCATTATCTAAAATCCTTAGAATATCTTTGAAGACATCAATATCCCCTATTGCAGATGAATAACTTGAAGCTTAATAAAAATCTATCCAAAGATTTTGCAAGTAAGTGGCAGACCCAGATTCTGAAACCAAATCTTATTGACTTTAAAACCCATGTGGTAGAATTGGAAAGAACAGGTGTGAATTACAGAGGAAAAGTAAAACTCCAGAGGAATTAAAGAAAATAGACTCAGTGGAAGAAGAGGCCAGAGGCCCAACTATCAGGCGTAGAGAGAGAAAACTTACCAGCATATTTTGTGGTGTTAGATTCATCCATGGACCAAAAGCAATAATCAAAGGCAAATACCTGAATGAAAGAACAAAACATTAAACTTAAAGATTAATTAACTTCTTATGAGTAAATCAGACTGAAAAAAAAAATCACTGATGAAGATAAGGATGGCCACAACTGTCTGTCCAAAAAAATCACTATAGGGTTGGTGCTTTTGTTAATCATAACATTTCTTTTTTTCTTTTCCTCTTTTTTGGTCACCCAGGCTGGAGTGCAGTTGAACGATCACAGCTCACTGCAGCCTCAAACTCCTAGGCTTAAGGGATCCTCCTCTTCAGCCTCCTGGGTAACAAGGACCACAGGTACACGCCACCATATCCAGCAATTCTTAAAAAAACAATTTGTTGCAGAGAGGCGTTCTTGTCCTATTGCTCAGGCTGGTCTCAAACTCCTGGCCTCAAGTGCTCCTCTCTGTTCTGCCTCCCAGAGTGTGCTGGGATTACAGGTGTTGAGCCATTGCACCCGGCCCAGTGACATTTCTTTTAGACTAAATATATGGTTAGCTTTCTGTATTTGAGTAAGTTGTGTAGGAAAAATACTATTTATCTATAATTCAAATAATCAGACATTTTAACCAGGTATTTTTTTCCACAATACATCCGATGAGAAACAAACACAAAAACAAAACAACAACAAAAAACAATGACTCCTCTCGCAAATCCACGGTTTCAGCATCCACTGAGCCTTCTGGCTGGATCTCCCTCAGCTCAAGCAGTACTCAACTTTCATATAAAGCAGTTCCCTCTCCTAGCTTTCCATGGTACCATCACTAGCATGCTGAAGCTAAAAACTCCCCACATGCCCATCCTGTACTCCTTTCCCCTTCAGTCTCAGCATGCAATCTGGGGGTGGGGAAAAATCTTACTGTATTTTTAATATACATTGCCTTGAAAAGATGTGAAGCAATCTGACATGTTTAGCAAGTTCATATCTTTAGTAATTATCTGGCATGTCTTTTATATGCAAAAGTATCTCTTCATGTTTTTAATTTTTAAATATATTTTTTGAGTTGGAGTCTTGCTTTGTCGCCCAGGCTGGAGTGCCGTGGTGTGATCTTGGTTTACTGCAACCTCCACCTCCTGGGCTCAAGCAATTCTCCTGCCTCAGTTTCCCAGGTAGCTGGGACTACAGGTGCTCACCACGATGCCTCGCTAATTTCATGGCTTATTTTTTCCCATAGTTACTGGGCTACCGGTGGTATTTGGTTACATGACTTAGTTCTTTAGTGGTGATTTATGAGATTTTTGGTGCACCTATCACCCAAGCGGTATACACTGTACCCTATTTGTATTCTTTTATCTCTTGTCCCCTTCCCACTTTCCCCCAAATCCCCAAAGTCCATTGTGTCATTCTTAGGCCTTTCCATCTTCATAGCTTAGCTCCTACATATCAGTGAGAACATACGATGTTTGGTTTTCCATTCCTGAGTTACTTCACTTACAAAAATAGTCTTTAATCTCATACAGGTTGCTGCAAATGCCATTAATTCATTATAGCTGAGTAGTATTCCATCATGTAAATACACCACAGTTTCTTTATCCACTTGTTGACTGATGGGCATTTGGGTTGGTTCCACGATTTTGCAATTGTGAATTGTGCCACTATAAACATGCATATACAAGTATCTTTTTTGTGTAATGACTTCTTTTCTTCTGGGTAGATACCCAGGAGTGAGACTGCTGGATCAAATGGTAGTTCTATTTTTAGTTCTTTAAGGAATCTCCACACTATTTTCCACAGTGATTGTACTAGTTTACATTCCCACCAGCAGTGTAGAAGTGTTCCCTGTTCACCGCATCCACACCAACATCTACTGGTATGGAATCATTAATTCACTCTTACTTTCTGTATAGGTATTGAATGCCTACAATATACCAGAAATGGCTGGTGCTTCTTGGTGCTTTCTCTGTAAGGACTCCCGTCTAACTGCTGTTTTTCTTTTTCTTTGTTTTTTTTTTTTTTTTTTTTGAGATGGAGTCTCACTCTGTCACCTAGGCTGACGTGATCTCGGTGGCTCACTGCAGCCTCCACCTCCTGGGTTCAAGTGATTCTCTTGCCTCAGCCTCCCAGGTAGCTGGGATTACAGGCGTGCACCACTATGCCCGGCTAATTTTTTTATTTTTAGTAGAGACAAGGTCTCAACATATTGGCCAGGCTGGTCTCGAACTCTCGACCTCAAATGATCTGCCTGCCTCAACCTCCCAAAGTACTGAGATTACAAGTGTGAGTCACTGTGCCTGGCCTTAACTGGTGTTTTTCATATCCATTACCACTACTCATATTCCAGCTGTCATTATCAAATATGTAGAGCAACACTCCCCAAAGTGTGCTCTAAGGAACCATAGTTTCATGACACAGTCCATGAAAAAAGATTAAATCACATTGGAAGTGGTGTACATTTTATCCTATTTGAGATTTTCAATGCAATTCTCAATATTAAAGGCTCTGAAAAGTGTGTTGGTAAAGAAAACTTTTTTTTTTTTTTTTTTTCTTTTTCTGAGATGAAGTCTCACTCTTTTGTCTAGGCTGGAGTGCAGTGGTGCGATCTTGGTTCACTGCAACCTCCACCTCCCAGGTTCAAGCGATTCTCCTGTGTCAGCCTCCCAAGTAGCCGGGACTACAGGCGCAAGTCAACACATTCGGCTACTTTTGTGTGTGTGTGTATTTTTAGTAGAGACGGGGTTTCACCATGTTAGCCAGGACAGTCTCAATCTTCTGACCTCATGATCCACCCGCCTTGGCCTTGCTGGGATTACAGATGTGAGCCAACGCGCCTGGCCAAGAAACCTATTTAATTGTTTAACATTTTATTTTCCCAATTCATTTGGTGAGGAGACCCTTTTTGGAGTAACACTTCTTAACATGCCTGGGAACGACGACTTCTCAGCATATCCCTTAGCAAAGGCAGCCCAAGTGACTCAATAATTACCTTCTTGGGCTCATTGCTATTGCCTTTATCTCTTGCAGTCTAAATAGTAAATTACAATATCCTGTGGGCAGGATCCTTTAATGCTTAATCACTTTCGAGAGATGTGAAGCACTGAGCATACAGAAGCCATGCTCTTTGGCCTGGCATTTGAGAGTGGCCACAATACGCCCTCCCAGCCTATTAACCCCAAATTCCTCATGCTCCAGAGGAAGTTGTCCTTACTTCAGAATTACCAAGTATAATTTCACCTTTGTCCTTGTTCTCTCCATTTACACCCATCAAAATACTTCATACCCCTTACGGCCTCGTTTGATATATCTTTCCTCCCAGAAGCATTCTTTGGTTAAATCCAAAGGAATTACCTTTCCTTTCTCTGAAAACTTACAACACTGTTTAGTTCTTTTTGACGGCTCTTATCTCAATTATTTTATTTTTCATTTATCATGTATATGATCTATGTGTGAGATAGCCTGCCTGCCTGCCTGCCTGCCTGCCTGCCTGCCTTCCTTCCTTCCTGTCATTCCTTTAGGGACAGGGTCTCCCTCTGTTGGCCAGACTGGAGTGCACTGGCACTATCACAGCTCACAGCAGCCTCAATTAGCTCAGTTGATCCTATCACCTCAGCCTCCTGAGTAACTAGGACTACAGGCACATGACACCATGCCCTACTAATTTCTGTGCTTTATGTAGACATGGGGCTTTGCCACATTGCCCAGGCTGGTATTGAACTCCTGGGTTCAAGCAATCCTCCCACCTTGGCTTCCCAAAGTGCTGGGATTATAGGCATGAGCCACTGGGCCTGGCCTGTATGTTTTATCTCCACATGCATGGTGAATAGACTAAGTTCCCTGAAAGCAGGATCCATATCAAATTCATCTTTGGAGCCTGCAATGTTCATAGTAGTCACTTTATAATTACTTATTAAATGATTAATGACATTAAGATCTTGCAAGGAAGTAGGCACTTTTTTACATTATAAGAGACTTATTAGTTGTAAGCAATACTCTCTCTCGCCAAAAAAAAAAAAAAAAAAAAAAGACTAAGTTATGTTTGAATAGTTTCAGCACTATATATACTTTATTTTAATGCTTTTAAAACTGATTCAGGTATACATGATGTACTCAACTTACATCATGAACCCCAGATCCAAATTCAATTTTATGACTTAAACAAACATTCACTCTGGTCTTATAATAACCAAGTTTCGAATGAACAGTTATGAAACAATAGTTTCAGCCAACAGAATGTGGAATATTTACTGCATTCAAGGGCTCTTCCAATGCCTCTAGAGACCGACCACACAGGCGTAATCCAGTTAATCTTTCTGCCTCCAGGCAGGACTGAACTTCAACACTTCTAAGAGAAGAAGATCTATCTTGTTTTTAAACATTTCCAGAAAAGGAGATTCCACAAACTCCCTTTAATGGCATCTTATAATACTGAACTCTTATTCCCAGGACATTTTCCTTTCCTTTTGACCTAAGTCAACTCTCCTTACTTTAAACAGCTAATAGAGCTTATTTTTTTTTTTCTTTCTTTTCTTTTTGAAGTATCTTTACTGCTCTCCTTATATTCCAGGCACTGTGGCCAAGCCTGATGCATGGTGAATTTCAGCTACAAGCATCATCCTAAATATTAAGAAAAAAAAAAAAAAAATCCCTCCACCAAGAACTTTTGCCTTTCAACCTCATTCTGTGCTCCTTTCAATAACTTCTGGTTTCTGCACTAAAAATAATTTGCAGTAATTATTTATTGAGCATGACCTACAAACCGGCCCTAGTAGTAGTCACCTAATTCATTAATTCACTTATCCATTCACAAATATTTATTGAGTACCTATTGTGTGCTAAGCACTGGAATTATAGCAGTGAATAAACATGCAAAGCGCCTGGAACTCATGAGTGTCCTATTATTTGCATTATCTGTCATAATATTTATATTAACCATGTCCCTCCTGAAGCTCCCAGTGGGGTGAAGGAGAGAAGCAATACGCAAGCAAACAATAAACACACATGGCGACAGGAGGTAATCAGTGACACAAAAATGTAACAGCATAAAGGCGCTGGAGAGAACCTGAGCAGGTCCT